GGTTTCAAATGTGAATCATGAAAGTTTTATAAGTGTATAATTGAAAGATATTCTCTCAACTTCGAGATTGAATTCAGTTGCATCTCATTCCCAGAAGTGAAGTTACATAATGACTTTTGAAAAACTGAAATCCCTACTCTAAAGCAAAGCACATAAAATATGTTAAAATTTTCCCACCAGAGGTTGATCAATTATTCGCACATACCTACATCCAGCTTTGAGGACTTTTTCTTTTTCTTATAAACACATGTAGGTAGATGAATCGACTACAATATATTATACATCTCAAATACCCACTCTGTGAACTTCAACATCATATTCACTCCACTTATTTCGCAATATTTATTTCACTACTGAATGGAAACGAAATGCAAACTAACGTTACCTCAAATTGGGGCATTTGTATTTGAAGTAGTGAAACATCTTTATAGAACGAATATCTGCTGAAAAGCTCCCTCAATTCACAAGAGTACACAAATAAACAGCCAAAAGTGAAGTTTTCTTTGCTCAAATCACTATCAGAAAATCTAAATGATACACACAAGCATATCAACCATTTCAAAACAATGTACTTTCATATAGTTCCCAACCGGCCACTTTGGCGCTGCGATCTTAAATTCAGTCGCCTATAGGAAGAATTTTGTTATATCTACAATCAATAGACCTACTACCAAAAGAACTTTTTTGGTATAAACCTTGTAAATAGAGATCAAAACATAGGAAGATACTCAATGATAAGTAATTATAACTGATCTAGTTGAACAGTGCCGAAAGAATGGTGGCGTAGTTCTCTTTCTGTTCCCTCATCAACTTCCTCCCGATTTCCGTGTTATAATCGACTCATCCACTGTCCTCAAGAATCCCATACCACAGCCGTCTTGAACTAAGACGGTTGTGCCCATACTCATCTATTGAACAACCCAAGTTCATAACTTTCACTGTTCTAAAACCTATGCTCAATTGCTCATACGGTTCTTGCTCATGGGAATCCTGCCTTCTACATCTTTTCGGAAGCTTCAACCTGTCACTGGGAGCCATTACTCGCTAATGTCAATGAACTACCAATCTCAGTTTGATTCTAATTATTGTTCCATAGATGGAACCTGTTTTAATAAAGATAAGAAAATGTAGGAACTATGAATAATTAGACCTAGATTTGTAAGGAATACATGGTATTCAAGTCAACTATCATTTTCATATTTGTCAATGTAGGTAATCAAACAATGAACCAAAATCATGAATAGATGGAAAAATGCATCCTTAGAAGTTATGACAACAATATTTACATTGCTCGATGATAATTACGAGGAAACAACCATGTTATTATTTTTATCATTATCATGCGGTGCCTGTAAGACTCTGACTGACCCTGCATTCAAATAGGGTTACGAATCAACTTGGGACAAGTGAGCTACCTCAAAGTTCCCAAACTCTAGTTGATATCGGGTTAGGTAGGTAACCAAAGAGATTTTAGTAATCGAGTTTTGCCTTTTAATTGTTATGATCATTGAATGGTGATGTGAGCTCATATTCGACGATAAAGAGAGAGATCAGTGAGTGAATCAGTGTGCGACAATGCTAGTAACCACGAAGCCTACCGGCAACTACAATTATTCAATATTATCGATACATAAATGGCGGCTGAAGACGGCTGCCTGTTCAATCGAAACACGCCCAGAACATTAAATTCCGTTTGACGACCCGGGTGGTTTTCAGCTCCTTTAAAATTCCAATAGTATTCTCGTCGAGATGGCCAATCACGTCTCGCATTGGCAACCCGCATGCAGACGAGACAAAAGTCTTTCCCGCCACCCGCTAGACGGGGTTAATCAACTTAGCAAAACAAATTTGTCTTTTGCTCGTTTATAAGATGCGCGGTTCATTTGTGTATTGGTTTCTTCACAACGCGCTCCCAGGAGCAATTTCAATTCCAAAATCGTCGATTAGTGGATCCATTTACGGGTTCTATCTCGGCTTTAACTGTCATTCTGAAAATCAGCGAGCGATCGAATCCTTGACTCCACAGGGTGAATCATAATCTTTCCAGAATTGGCTTTACCATGCTATTATTGGCCGATTGATCTCTACTCTAGTTTGTGGAACTTTGAGAATTATAGTCAAAACTGCTGAAACATCTAATGATAGGTATGTCTACAACAAAGTTTGTTTCTCTATTCAATAATATTGCAACATAATGTATGGATCTTGGTAATATATAATAATAATATACAGGGTGTTTCATAATTGAATGCTGATCCTAAAGGGCGATAATCCTTGGATGATTTTAAGAAAAATTCTTCATGTGAACATAGGTCCGTAACAGCTTCGTTTCTGAGATACAGGATGTTGAAATTTAAAAAAAAAATCAGTTATTCCCCAATATCTCTGGAACCGCTCTGGCTTTTTTCTTCAATTTTGGTATATGCCGAGTATGAATAGAAATAAATTTTTTCCATAATGAAGGATTTCTTAATTTCCATCAGTGGCGTCCCTGTTAACATACCCTGTCATATTTTTCATCAAAATAATGATACCCCACTGTCTTTTTCCCAAATGAATATTATTTTTGTAATTATCCTCTATCTTCTCATAAAAATGGTCTCTTGTATTTTTTTCGTCCGGTGAACGGTTTTTGAGTTAGAAAATAAAATGCATTCATTTGCTTGTCCCTATTCGATTTTTACTCTTAGTCATAATTTCACAATTGTGGTAACCAAAAGATCAGAGAAATATTTTTATAATTTTATGGTAACTATTTTTAAGTATTTGTAATGAAGAAAAAAGCCAGAGCGGTTTCAGAGATATTGGGGAATAACTGATTTTTTTGTTGAATTTCAACATCCTGTATCTCAGAAACGAAGCTGTTACGGACCTATGTTCACATGAAGAATTTTTGTTAAAATCATCCAAGGATCATCACCCTTTAGGACCAGCATTCAATTATGAAACACCCTGTATAATAATTATATATTACCAAGATCCGTACATTATGTTGCAATATTATTATAATAGCCTCTTCGCAGTTTTTCAACAAAAATGCATATAGGTAAGTGTAACAATGTTTTTAAGAGTTTTTCACTCGAAACCCTAACAGGATTTGATATTTAAAAACTTCAGAAACGATAAGATTTCCACAATATTCTCAAACACACGACATGTTTCGCTAACACAGTAGCTTCGTCAGTAGCTTCGTCATCAGGTGATATACTGGTACAACGAAGCTAATCTGCTAGCGAAACATGTCGTGTGTTTGAGAATATTGTGGAAATCTTATCGTTTGTGAAGTTTTTACATCTGCCATGGATTTCCATCAAGTAACGGCCGAGTCAATTAAAAAAAATGAAAGAATTTGATATATTACAAATTGATATTTCTTTTATTCGATTTACCAAACTGTTTTCAACTTCTAGCATAAAATAGATTTCGGGATGTATATAATAACTATGTGGAAATCTCAGCAATTGTTATTTTGCACAGTAGAAAAAATAAACAACACTCCGTCTATTTGATTTTGTGTCGTTTCTGAAGGAAAATAAGATTTCCCAATACTGATCCATCATTTTTGTTTGACATCCAATTGTTCGCTGGTGAGTTAGTCTAGTTTTGAAATCGATCGGCCGATAATGAATTCAAAAAGCCAAGTATGGGATATTTATCGATTGCACTATACATGTGTGCTGCTTAATGCAGTTATTCAGGTTTATCAATAATATTTTCGAAGTACATCATTGGTTTGATGGAAATGTTATGCATCATCATTCATTAGTGGATGGTTGGTTGATAGATCGAAAAGTGTATGTGAAAGATTTATAATCAAATTATGGGAATACAAATTCATATGTATGGAATCACCCAACAATAATACTATACAAATTAAAATATTCATCTGAAACTGAACATCAAAGGTCTTCTGAACATTTCCCAAGTTTACACCATTCATCCACACCTCAGACCATCTCAATTCTTTTCACACCAATTTTGTACTTCGTGACAAGTAGTCGCCAGTGCTCGACTGATATTCATCATTTGCAAAGAAATGAATAACATACCGAAAGACCGTTGATTCCAGTATTCATTAGATAATGATTGTACAAACAATTATTCAGTGCTATTTACATCAGCTTGTGACAAAAGCTATGCGCATTCACCTCCACTCTATACTCAACTTGTGCTGATGAATAAAAAATTAGGCACCAAAGACTAAATCCCCTTATAGGTACTTCATTTATATCCAATTAAATTGTAAATGGGTTTTCAAATAACTCCGAAAATGGTGAAACTACCCTACTACAGCTCACCCACCTATAGTAAGCTGTGACCCTACCACATGGGTGATGTGCCATTGAGTGTCTCTTACTTTGAATACTTATACAGAGGTCTATCAACACAGAAGTAATGCAAGATATAGAAGCTTAGTACATTTATTAGTGAAAATGATAGCTTTTCACTGATAGAAATATGACATTGAGTCATAATCTATTCCTAAGGTTCCTAGTCCTGAAACCTCATATCTCTATGTGGAAGATCATTTCCAAAAATGTATTGAACGTTACTTCTAGGTTTGAAAAGAGTTCGATATGAGCAAACTCGACATAGATAGATAGATATGTAATCATCAGCTTCAGTCTATGATTAACTGGGCTCATATAGTTCTATAGTTCTATTATCGAACAATGAAATCAGTTTTCTTTACATTGTATTGGGGTTGAACGGAGTTGGATATAAATGAAGTATATTGGAAGAGCCCTGGCAGATCGGCACTGAAAGAGCACTGAACAGTATTTAGAGAGATGTTCAATGACCGAAAGACAATATTTGAGTGCTGAGTTCACGGACCCTCAAAACACGAAAAGCACATCACACGCAGGAAAGGCTCCGACATTACAAATTCGGCACCCCACCTCGAAACCACATCTCCGAATATAGAAAAAAATCTATGCTACCATCCAATACTACACAAACAGAGATGTTATCCATTCCCTGATCCATATTCCACTTACCATTGTCACGTCATCTATCTTTGAGATACTTCTCACAAATATGTTGACACTGACAATTGCTGGACCATCTAGCGGTTAAGAAACAAAAACGGCTCAATTAGTTACAGTCCTGGAGAGATGTAGTGATTTCTCACTGAACCTTGTCATTAGGAGTTATAGATCAAGAGCCACCAATACCAGTATAATAAGTAGTAGGTACCTAGTAATTAGTTATGAAAAATGTATCGACCATCACGCCGTTATGGGCACTCATGAAATATAAGAAAATGTTCATTATATCTAAAAATTTTTCATAGCGGCAAAGATAAGTTGTAATCGCTTGATGATGCTAATACTAATAATAACCCAGATAGAAAACCTGCCATACCGAGTGAAATAGTGAGTAGGTAGTAATTGCTTCAACAAAATAATTGCTAATATCTACAATTAATCCGAACATGAAATAATAATTGTCGCATACTTTTCGGATGAATATATTATGTAGAAATTCCCACTAAAATTTCGTGTCACTAATACATTTCTGTGAAAAAAATAATACTCATGCAACGAAGCGGTATGGTCAATCAAAATTTCAAATGAATTGTATCAATGAAAACAGGTAGTATATGTATACGGAAATTTAACATCACTGGTATTCTACAGCCATACAGCGATTAAAACTAGAATCACATAATTTGTTGCTATGGAAACAATTTTAGAACAGAATCAATATACTCAAAGAATGTAGACGTCAGGCTCCACAATGGGGAAGACCACTGGTTTTTTGAAACGACATCATCGTGAGCTCGTTACAAAAAAACTACCAGTAAATATAATTTTGAATTCTTCAATTCATTCAAGGACGATGAAAAAAATGAATTAATTGGTGTGACTGGTGTGACGTATAGTCCCAACTCGCCTATTATCATTGAGCTGACCAATCACACTGCAACACTGCAGAATGGAAAGGTATCAGAGAGAGATAGCTACAGTTCGGGACTACTACGTCACGGCTCCACCTTCATAATCTGGTTTTCTGAAATATCGAAGGGAATATGCTGATTTCAAAATGCTATACATTCGATTTCCTTCAACTGTAACTTATGATATTGATTGCACATTAAATGAAAAACATGATTCATCGATTGAAAGAGGTTTGGACGGATTTGATCCCTCAGTGGTCTTCCCCATTGCGTTACGATCGCAAAATCAGCAATTTTTCATTTCTATTTACTTCCAAGCTTGTCGCTTCAACTAGCAATATACTGAAGTTGGTAGCGCTTGGTCTATTATTTCATCCGTCCCGCTGTAGCATTGCGAAAAATTGAGTCATTTCTAACAGACATATCCGAATAATGAACAGATAGATCAATGACTCGAGATTTATGATGTACTCCACTTTGGTGAAAGTTCTACTGAGTTTTAATTCTGTGAATATATGAGGAAGCGTGCTGTGTGCTTAGTTTTCTATAGACTCAGCATCAATCTCTATAGAAGGTTCTATATTTATTTCAACTTTATTTCCCATATTTTGAAATTTTCAGTGTATGTATCAGCTTTTATTTAGAGGTTTTTTACAGTGCTATTCTTTTTTTTTGGGTAGTGAGTCAAGCTTTTATCAAACTTGGATTCGTTCTTCGGAATTGTTTCTCAACTGTTGAAGTTCAGTGAGCTATCAAAAGAAGGAATTTCAGTTCAAAAATGTTATTGCACCAACCCATTTTCATTTCAGAGATTTTCCAGATACTAAATACGTTGATTGGGTGAGTTTTTATAAGAATTAGGTCATATTAACGATATTCTGTGTTGCTCAGAAGTCCTAGAACGAGAACGTTACCTGTGGTGGTGTAGGTTTGATCAATTTACAGTCAACAACTCAACAAGTTGCTAAGCAGCAGTTGATTGGACAACCTGTTTTCCAGGAGAAAAAGTGGCTATAAATTTGAATTTTGTTTGATATAAGGGTGTTTATTTCTGAGTTACTGTTACTGAGAGCAAATTAATCTTGTTAGAATTATTGGCTAGCCAATCAGTTAGGTATAGGAAACCTATACCTTCCTATCTTGCTCTTGTTATTGCCGAGTTTATTCGAGGATGAGAAAGATATGTGAGCAATAAAGCTGCTGCAATAAAAACTTGAAAGACAGCGGTTTTGAGACGTGCTCAGAAACCATTGAGTCAATTATATTCCTACTAGACTGAATTTTGCCAAGGCTCATACAGGGTGTTCATAGAGTATCTATATTCATATTTTGAATTCAACACCCTGTATCTGACGAACTAATCATTTCACGATTAATATTTATAGAACCAAATCTATTTAAAAATTGTTTTTTCAAACTTCTCTGCCATGATTCCTATATTTCATAAATATCATAGTTCAGTCAGTTTGTCACTTGTAACATATGTTGCAAGATGGCAGTTTCAGTCTCGAAAATGTGATATAAATCTCCAAAATGTTATCCTGATGTTATCATAATAGAATCCAATTGAGTGCAGAATAAATTCGATATTTCTGTTCCTTAGCAAGAATACTTCAACTTTGTTGTGTTCCATTGCTACCAATACAGAAATGTTCTAACGAGAGGGCAATTGCCTTTCTCTGTCCCACATAAATAATCTGCAATCTGCAATGAGTCAATAGCATGCCTTTTCTCTAGAAAGGCCGATCTCACTGTGCCCAACATAAGCTTGTCAGGAGTAACCATACCTTTGAAGACATCCATTTGATGCTTGGTATTACTATCAGCAATAACCTTTCTTGGGAAAATCACGTGAGATCAATTGCTAAAAGTGCATCCCATAAACTTTTTTGTTTTTTGTTTCGGGCCAGGAGCTATTTCACTTCCAGTCAGCTGCTTATGATCTATAAGGCACAGATCCGACCTGTCCTGGAATACTTTTCCCATATTTGGAGTGCAGCACCCAAACATACCCTGAAACTGTTGGATTCTGTCCAAAAAAGGGCAATTCGTCTCGTGGGTGATGCCTCGCTCACAAACTCACTAACTTCTCTGGAACACCGTGGGAAAGTTGGCGATCTGGCTCTATTTTATAGATATTTTCATGGACGATGGTCTTCTGAAATATCAACAATTGTTCCTCCCTTGGTAGTCCCCGCGAGATTAACCCGTCGAGTTGAGGCTTGCAGCCCTTCGTGGTCACTTTGGAGACCTGCAGAACATCTCTTTCCAATGACTCGTTCATCCAACGAACAGCGAGGCTCTGGAACACATTGCCAAGGGAGGTGTTCCCCGAGGCATATAACCTCCAGAAATTTAAGAAGAACACCAATTCCTACCATATTCCCTTTGGTTCTCACGATGTTCTCTGAACATTACAGGATATCCCTCTCACCTAATGGGAACCCAGAACATTAAAAAGAAAAAAAACAAAACGCACCTATTGGATACTATAATTTGTCATGTAGTTAAGGTTACGAATAAGACAAGTCAGGGTCCGATCCGTTTTTTTTTCGGATTTCTAGAGCTGTTTATGTTCAAAGTGTGTCCATAGACACCCAGTTCTCCCCTATACAGGGTTTCATAATCATCGTCATTTGACCTATTGTTGAATTCCTAATTATAATTACACAAATATGGAATTTATACATGAGCCAACTTTGTGTTTACTGAAATCCGTGCTGATCTCTTATGGTTTTGATATAGAAAAATGCTTCAAAGTATTTGGAATTGTCTGAGAAACAGAATTGACATGTCCGACGTTTTTTGCAATCCCTTAAATGGTAACAGAAGTATCGAATTTGTAGGATAAAAACGCTTGATTCTAGCTGAATACTAACAAACAATAAGTAATTCATTTTCGAAACTTGGATCAATCTTTGTTAATGCAAGTTTTCTTCAGATACTTAGATGGTTGATGATTGCATAGAACTTTGAGAGCACAAACATAATTTCCCAATTTATTAAAAAAAGTAGGTAGTTTATCGATATCTTCCAAAGTTCAGATAATGTCCGAAGGTTTCACATCCAGACTCGAGTTTCCAAAACCTTACAGCACCAATGAAACAACTCCTAAGTGGTGACTAAAGGCATTTATCAAGGCTCATTCTACTCTCCGTCGGACTGAAATCATTGCTAGTGGCAATGAGGCACCTGCACCCGGCGCACCTGCACCGGCACCTGCTGTGGCCAAGGCCCTAGCCAAGTCGGAAATGCATTCAGCAGTCAAACCCTATCCTACAAGCTAGACGGGGCCAGCGATTCGAGCTGTGGCATCACCACAACAACAAACACAACAGTTCTTCTACATCAGATTCAGAGGACGCGAGCTCCCAGTTTCGCACCTATTCAAAACGCCCCGATAACAGGCATAGACAAGCTTTTTGACCAATCAAGTCGATTTTGGCCTTGGCGGTAAATTCGAATCGCGGATCTTGGCGATTTTGAATCACCAAGTCATACATCGAATAATGATCAATGAATTATTTCCCAAGTGTCTGGTAATATTGATTAGCAATTGATGAAGCATGTGATAGGAACTGGAAAATGAAATTTAGGACAAATTGCTGTAGCTGAAAATATATTCAAATGCATCTATCTATCTTATTCCAATTTCGGGAAAGCTGGCTTCCTAATTTTGAAATTCCGCTTCTTGGTAGTAGTAGTAGCGAAGGGCGCGTACCAACACAACTATTTCTACCTGAATGGCAGGTTTTACGCCTTGATAGTGAATAAGTTGGTTGGATAGGAATTCTAGACCTCAATTTATTTCTTCGATTTATCATTCCTTATAAATATAGTGATTATAAATTCAAGTGAATAATAAATAAAAAAGGGGGAGTACAATATCTCACAAAAAACTACCTGAAGAGAAGCCGGTGTGACATGCACTTGCAAATCCAGATACAGTTTTGATGTCTCAACTTTCCAACAAAAACAGTCGAGGCTTTTGAAATTTCTATTGGTTAACGTTTCAGATATTGAGAAAATATTTCATTCACCACATTAATACTTTCAAAACCATCTGAAATACAGTGTTCCTCATTTAATATTTCTTCCGCTCTCACATCAGGAGATCAACAAATGTCTCATCATTTTCGGAATATATTTTTGTGGATATTATTTCT